TTACTTTTAATTTACTCGCTTTAATTGTTTCATGGCAACTCTAGACCTCTTTAATAAGAGCGGCTTACTTATGCGTAATGTGTACCGTAGCTGGTTGAAATCTGTAAACTCAAAAAAACCAAATTCTTGCTGAATCTAACCACGCCTAAACGAAAACAAAAGGCATTCGTTTCCGAGGTCGTCAATCAATCGTTAATCCAACGACGCAATATCCATAAAATGAATCGCGCCAGTGCTGGTCGGCTGGACTGGGCGGTCTCGGGCCGTGCGTAATAGGCAGAGCGGAGGCACGACAATGCCGCAATCCGACTACCAATCTGCATAATGGATTGCTCGGCCGAACGCGTCCTACGGTCGCTCATTCAATTGTCGCGGCGGCCGATGTATGCCGATGTGTCGCCCCGGTTATTACGGAATACGGGATTAATAATTTTACGGCTGTACCGTACCTACCAACCACCGATCGACGATCGGTCTATCCATCTTTTTTAACTTGATCACGCTTTTATGCAAGACATAAATCGAGGTCGTACAAATTGTTTCCCCTTTCTTTTATATGCATGAATTAAAGATAACTCAGACTTAGATGGATTCCTTCTCTAAGATAGAAACTCTTGAAGATCTGATACCATAGAAGAGTAACTGTAACGCTTTTACACTGCAAAAGTTACTATTTTGCTTTGAAAATATTCGTACCTAAATAATCCTTAGTTCCATTCTACGCGTAGGTAATTGCATAGAAATCACTGATGAACGACTGGCCACGTCATTTCCATCTAATTTTGATAGCCGTCCGTGCAGGTCAAGTATATTCATTTCTGAATTCGACCATTAGAGCCGTATTGCATGTGCTCGTCGATGTACGAGTGTGTAGTTTGAAATTCAAATGTTAATATGGAGTTAGGTGACAGTACACAACGAGAGCAATACGCCTCTCGGGAATTCTTTGCACACGTGACTACTTTGTCAACTTGTTTGTTAGAAATTGATATAAATTCAGTGCAAAATGCTTTGAGCTACGGCGGTTTTAAAATCGCCTTCTTCCACATATTAATTAAATAAATAGATTGATAAGGAATGTCATTTTTCATTACTCCAACGACTTCTGATAGATAAATTTAAATTCAGATATCATTTTTTTTTTACATTTTCTCCTATTTGAAAGTGGTAAATAAGTATCTCAATATGCAGGTAAAACATAATACTCAGTAAGTTATATCCGAGCCATAACGACTCCCTAAACCGAATATGTCTTAGCGGGGGCTGAGATTTATCGGGCGCATATTGCACGCGCCGCTCGGGGAAGCGAGGCCGTATTCGGGAATATGATTTTAAATAGGCACTAACTTTGATGGATGACAACCGAAATGTTGCTTTATTTTGTTTACAACTACAAAATAATATTATTTCCTCTCAGACAAAATGACTAATAAAAGCTCTTCTGTTTTGTCAGACCTATCTACATAGAATCTACATCTATACTAATATTAAAATTGGAAATTTTGTATTTTTGTATTTTTGTTTGTATTGAAATAACTCAAAAACTATCTTTTAAAATCAATTAAAAACATAGGTTATATTTTAATTATTTGTTTAATTCACACGGGCGAAGTTGCGAGCAACAGCTAGTATACAATATAAAGAGAAACATTCGGTGCACAAAACTCATGCATACTCTGATTTCGTTTTCACATTAATAGAGCTGAAAATACAAAGAACGAGAGCATAAAAAGGCTTAAAGAACATTGCAAAAACGTTTATCGAAACTGTTGCTATTAGCAGTTTCAGTTAGCTGTACAATGTGAGTGCGTTAATTGAAATACATGAAGTGCTCTGGAACAGGTCGCGTGAGCCGCGCCGGCCGATACAGAAATACAATAGCCGCGGCACAATGGGGCCTCACTCTGCTCTTTAACGGCACGAGCCAAATGGAAATTTTAGAGCCCGGATACAATTCGAATGGACCTCACTTTGCTGTGACCCACGTAATCGATGCAATGGACAATTTTAACTATAATTGCTTTTCGATTACATTCTGTTGATATGACAGTTTTTTTTTTTATTTATCCTTTTTTACATGGACTGTTCTCTAAATTAAGTTAGTTGTTTGTACAGTTAAGTCTTGTCAGAAGTAGTAACTCGTCAAATAAGTCGTACTGAGTAGCTTAACCAAAAGTGGTTCAAGATCGATTTGGTTCGGTCGTTAAATGACTATATTCAATATTGAAAGGAATTATTGTAGCGCAATTCGGATGGGTATGGGAGCTAAAATTTCCATTTGACTAGACGGTAAAGACCGGTGAGTGGAGCATTGTTCCATCGCCATTGTGTTTTTCTATTACCTCGCAGCGGTCCACGGGTTATGTCAGTACACGTATCTCAATTACTTTGCATATTCTCTACGATATAGGTCAGTCAAAAAATATTACACTTTTAAAAAGTCAATGAAAGTACTGCTAGTATGAAAAGGTTAAGGTAATCTTTGCAGTGTTTTTTTTTAGTATTAGTTATTTAGTATGTAGTTATTAGATTTTTGTTAATTTACTAATATTTTGTTTAACCATTCCAACTAAGATCTAGGCTTGTGCTAGGATAGGGTTCTCGACAGTCGAATGGTGGGATTCGAACCCTCGACAACAAGATCGGTATTCTGTTCCCTGAGCCATTAAGCTATTGGCGCTTTTTACTTTATTATTTTTTTTTTTATAATATAAGGTGGCAAACGAGCAAGCGACCACCTGAATCCACCGAAATGGAAAGCGACCGCTGCCCATTAACATCTGCAATAACAGATGCGTTGCCTACCTTGCCTACCTTACGTTAATTGATGGAGGAAGAGTCGCACATAAAGAGGACATTTCCCCTTCCTATGCGTCTCTTCCACCGTCAAATCCACTTTTCCTTCCCATCCTTTTCTCTTAAGAAAAGGGTGTAAAGGGAAAGGGACTAAAATTAGGCCTCCGGCACCACACACATCAGACGAAACGCGGAATTGCTTCCACTTCACGCCTGTTTTCTGTGTGGTCGTGGCCGGATTACACTGGACGAGCCGACCCATTCGTGCGAAGATGTTAAAGCGGGCTCTACCACTGTTAATCTAACTTAAGTATAAACTAAAATGTTACTTACCAATTTTAAAGGCCACCAAATGGACGTTATTCTCAATTTATGCGTTAATAGGTTTTTTAATCTGTTCTGTTATCCAAACTAGATTCTTTAGTAAAAATTCCCGTCGTTCATGGATAGATCTAAAATAAAACAAAACACGAGAGTTAACGAGCCTAACATAATCATTTGGCTGCCGTGCCGGTTCGGAATTCGAAGCATTCCCTCTGTGGCTGCATTACTCTGTGATTTCTCTGTTTGTTTAACTTCGTGTTATGCTGTGGCTTCAACCGCTTTGTCCAGTTCATTGAATTTAGTTTTCACTTAAATTTCACAGAAGTCGTTATTGTTCCGCGTAGACATGTACAAAGCGTATTCATTTTTAGTATGACTTTAAAAAGGAAAAGTGAAGTTTAAGTTACAGACACATTTGTAGATGTTTCTAACCGGATGTTTCCATTGTCATAACATTGATATTAAAATGTTATCTTATAGTATGAATGGTATAGTTGGTATACGGGATTCGCAAGTTGATAATTACAAGACAAGACAAGGGAATTAATACTCATAGATTCCTATTGGAAAAAGTATGTAAACCTTAAAAGTCTTACATGTATTTATTTTTAATCCTAATGTTTGAATGGATGGACGTTTGTTAATCTTGATCTTGATGAAATTTGACATAAATGTAGAGGATACTCTGGTTGACCGCAGGCTACTTTTGGTCTCGGAAGAAGTTGCAGTTCCCGTGTTACAATAATTTGAAACAAAATTTGAATTTCAATGTTTTCTAAAATATTAATTCTTAATAATAAATTAGACAACAATCAGATTTATAACAATGGTTCTAACAGATGCTAACGAGTCCAACATATCATTTGACTGGGTCTAGGCAACGCGTGGGGGGCTGGGGTATTGCAGAGCGACGCTCTGTGGCAGGCTAACGACGTGACGGCTCTGTTTGTGGAGCCGGGCTCGCCGCATCCGACCCATTACACGACCCACTACCTCGCCAAATTTATTTAGCCCATTATAGAGCGTAAAGACCACACACGGTTTGGGGAAATGATTTCTAATTGTTACTACTCTATAAACTATGTACATAAATTTTATTTAACATTAGTGTTACATAAAACATTATAAAATTTTGGGTTTGTTACTATATTTTAGAATAAGATAGCCATTATAGCCTCTAAAAAAATCATTTAAATATGAGCCCCATTTTCTTTGTTATCTAAATTTTTTCGCGACTTAAGAGGGAGGAACCGAAAATACAAAGATGAAAATGTGAGTATAGGTTTGAAGTCTTTTGTTAGTATGATGATATGTATGAGTGGAGATAGCGAGCTTGGTAACCGGTTAAATGCATTTAATAACGCTGGCGACTCTCCCGCACGGCCCCCGCGACGTGCAGCCGGAAATCCACAAGACTTATGGCTTTAATAACAACCCCTTAACCTCGTCTTGGCTTTCCTTAATCCTTAAATCTCGAGTGCCTAGATTTACTTAGATTTATCTATCTATTTAACAATTTTACAAACGATATAAAATAAAGAATTATTTAACTTTGTTATTATAGTTTATATTAAATTGTAAAAATAACGATAAACAGAGCAATCTTTGTGGTAAACTAGCTTTCGACTCAGTCCGCGTGGAATTTAAAAAAAAAACAAAAGTGAGTATCAGACTATAATCTAAATTTATACCAAATTTCATTGAAATCCGTCCAGACGTTTTGGCCTTAAACCATCTATCCATATAAACTTTCATTAGTAGTATAAAGTATAATTTAAAAATCTTTTAAGGTAATTTAAATTAAACACAACTATAGAAGACGAATATTACCAATCCTTGAAGATGTAACGTATTGTCAGGTATTAAAATCAAACTCACTCTGAATCACTTAAGAGTTTTATTAGTATATCTTACAATTAAATAACTTCACGTTTGAACACATTAGAAGGGAGGAAGCCAGACTTCAAAATGCGATCCGTAGCCAAGCTTCTTCCGCAGCGAGGTCTCGAAGGCGGCGTCACGTGCGGAGTCCCTCGGCGCCCGCATGTCGCGCCCACTCTCCTTGACGACCTCCCTCGCCGCTCGTAGCAACTTGGATACATGCGCCACACTATCTCTTGCCTCTTCCACTGACAGTTGCTGCAATTAACAATAATATATTAAACTTTATAAATTGTAATTTTGTTTTAATTAATATTTACTGACCATCGACCGGTAATTCGATCTCATCATTGTCTGATTCAAAGAGGGTAATTAATATGATGGGACGCTAGAGTAGATAGGAGAATGTATATGGCCGCTGCAATCTGAGGATGATATGGGCAGAGATGATGACTAATTTAATGAATAGTTAGTACTCACTAGTTCGTCCTGCGGCAGAGTGTGCGGGTATATCCTGACCCAGTGACCAAGGCGTGCGGGCGCGCGGTGCCAGCGCACGCCGTTGCCCCACGTGCTGGCGTCGAGAGCACGTCGCCGGCTCGCCGCCGTCGCGTAACCGCCGCGCCACGTCTCGTCGCAGTCGCCGCCCCCAACGCTTGACGACGACTGAAATAAATTGAAATACAAATTCGATGGTCAAATTAAATTGATTCATGGTAACGCAGTAAATGTTAATTTCTATTACCAGATATTACCAAAATAACTATTTTCTATTAAAAAATACTATATGTACCTGTGATTTCGGCATTTCAGGGCTTGTTTCGATTAATGAATTATTGAGGCGTACCGAATGATTGTTTTTGTTGCTGTAATCCTGTAAAAAGTAATTGAACTAAAAAAAAACTATAAAAGCTTACTGTTACTGTTTTTAACTTAGTTATTTTGTTTTTAAAAGTTTATAAATTTTATGCATGTAGCTTGTACAGTAATCATAGTAAATTTTGAAACAATCACAGGTGTAAATAATGAAATATTTACAACTGTGGGATGCTGCAGGGTGATGCAATGTATGGGCATTGCTTGTCGCCGGCGGAATCGCGCGCCGCGTCGCGTACTCGCCACGCGCGGCTCACGGTGCGCACCGCTCTCGTCCTCTGAACTACAACTTAACATATAATGTATATGAGAGTACATTACGCAAGTAAATTATTACCGGTTTTTTTTCTTCAAATGAATAAGCGAAACTGCGTTTATCAAATTGAATTTTTTAGATAAACTATCAATAAACTCATAACCTGTACACTTTTCCCTTCAAAAACATATTACGATATTTTATTTGGAAATGTGTTCTCTATATATCTTGATTTTCATCGAGCAACTGTACTCATTTGTTTTGGGTTTTATAAATTGTTCAAACGTAAAATTTTCAATCTGGACTTTTCGTCATTTAACTAAACAACGTTCTGCCGGATCAATGAACATCCGTAACATGTTTAATATATTAAGCTTTATCATACCTATTGACTACTGTGGGAGGTCCCTGCAGCAAGGATAGACCAGTGTGCCGCATGGGCATACCGAGCAGGTCAAACAGCTCGTGCAGCATAGGCTGCTTCACTGCTACATCCGCCTCGCAGTCCGCAGCCAGCGCCGGAGACAGGTTCACCTGCAAACATTGACTTCTAAACTTTACTTTTATCTTTAAAATACGAGGAATTTCACTTCGAACACTCGGAACTGCACTCTGCAGTAACAACGGCATAAAACAAATTACCTGGTTTTTTTAGAGGACAACAGGGTTAATAACATTTTTAAAAAGTATTGTTAGCAACGGAGGTTATAGTACTTCTTATTTCTGGTAAAGTTAATCTAAAACTAAACAACCATGATCACCTCAAGTAACCAGGGCTTCATAGACTCGTCTAGCAGTACATCAAAGCCGTAGAACTCGAAGCAGTTCCTGGCAGGGGGCGTGCCGGCCGCCTGGGCCAGCAACGTGAGCGTGACGAGGGCCCGCACGCGCTGCCATACCAGCCACTCCACCGCGCCCCAGCGGCCCACCAGCGCGCGACGCACTTGTTTCAATGTCCACTTGCAGCCTGGTCAGTTTATCGTGAAAATTATGATATTGTAACATAGTTATGAGATATAAAAAATGAGGAAATCAGTTCTTAGCTTCATCAGATAGATTATTAATCATAAAGCACTGTTAATACAATGTACACAAATGCATTCGTAGATAAAGATATGTCAATGATTACATGGTACATCTGACGATTTTATTTTTCAAAAACAGATTTTTTCCTGATTGACTTGACTTAATTTTAATTGTTTTTTGGAATACTCTTAATATTAGAACATTTTCATACGAACCGCTACCAATTCTATCCTTGCACTCAGCATATCGCGGTCCTGTTTTGTTCAGCGATGAATTAGTTAGATGTCTGTAGGGATTGTGAATGTCCGATAACGTATACTTGTCTGTTCCTGAAATCCACAGTAAAATTGCGTTAGTATTAGGGGCCAAATTGCATATTGTTTGATAACAATCGAAGGTATAAAATATGTGATGGAAATATCGGATTCTGTTCCCTTATCTGACAGTGATGTCTTTTTTAAGCTATCTGAGCCTTTATCAGCCAGCGGTGGGGCAGGCTCTTAGTATCACACAATTTATAGGCCAATTATATCTGAAACTTCCTTGATTTCTTGCCCTAGCAAAGGTTTATATTAACCTTAGGCGACTACATAATGTAAGTATACTACAACTTGGAAAACGTCGTTCTGCGTGTTTTATATCACCATCAGCACACTATACGTCGCCACTAAGGGGCTATGAGCCTACCCTTAAAGTAAGAGGTTGGTTGACTTCACAAATATCTTTGAAATTCCTCGCCAATATGTGCAGATTTTATCACGATATTTCCCTTCACCGTAAGAACGTCCGCTAAACTACGTACATATGAAATTCGAAAACCATGTTGACACATGGCGGGATTTGAACCCAAGACCTGTAGAATACAAGTCAAGTGCTTAAACCCCTGAGCCACCGACGCTCTATTATGGTTTAATTGTTTTATCACATTTATCAAATTACCATTGATCCAAGTAAATACTAAATCGCCTTACCAAACCTAGCCAGTCCTTCTGCGTACATGTATGCTGTAAGCGGGCGATAACCCGGCACGCAAACGTACAGGCGGAGGTCAAATTTGTAGCCGGCGACCAGCAGAGGGCGCTCAATGTACCGTTGCACCACCGCGGCACTCCCGCAACGCATCTCGCACACGCTCTGAAATACCATAGACAACAAAGTTGTAGAAATATACCTTGCCGTACCGAATCATATATGAAAAATCTACCCTTTACTAAAACTGTCGATTTCGTATAATCTGAAAATCATTAGTGCAATAGAGGAATGATTTTCATAGCGAATCCTTAGTATACTTTCTATGAAGATACCAGTTATAATGCTTCTAGCAACTTCAGAAGGGTTCAAATACCATTTCTGTTTTGCAATATCAATTATAAATATGATGTATGCATACTAATTTTATGAAGAGAAAAGATTTAGATTTTTGTACGTATTGAAATAACTCAAAAACTACGGGAGGGATTTCAAAAATTCTTTTATCATTAAAAAGCTATTTTATGTATAATATGAAAGGCGAAGTCGCAGGCAACACTTAGTATAAGGTAAGGATATTTGTCATATTGATATTTACCCGAAACAAGAATATCCCCCGTCCTTGACTCTGCGCGACGGGCTTGTGTATCCAAACCACGTTGGAGCCTGAGCCATCCTCTGCGTGACGCAGACGAGAACATTCAGACACCAACTTCGCGTATTCCAAAGGTAGATGGAAGCATGGCGGACTAAACAAATAATAAAATCACTATCAGTTCTTCTCTCATTATTAAAATATACTTGAAGCAATAAAATGATTGTCATTTAAAAGTGAAAACGGAAATTTGAATGCAAATACAGGCCGTCGAAAGTAATAAGAATCGGAGCCGTGCAAGGCAAGGGGCTTGGGGCTATGTCTCAAACAGTACAAAGGCATCGGATCTTTCGGGAGCTCACGCGATCCGTACCACTTGGGGGTAATTGCTACAGAAACACGATTCATTAATATTCAAAAATTATAATTTAATATTACCGTGAACTTTCACCTCTCGACGCGAGGCCCGGAAGAGTTTTTAATATGACCTCTAAACGTCGCCGACAAACTTCGCTAATTTAATTTTCAGCAAAGCTTCCATTGCAGTTTTAGTCAACGGAATTGTTTTAAACTGTTTCTATTAATCATAATTAAAAAGACTTGCTTGTTTAATTACTTTATTAGCGTTTGCTGATTTGTTAATTACTAATTCGCTAATGTCAGAATTTTGACAAATAACAGGCATAAAGTTTACGAATAATGTGTATTATTATTTTCACAATTCTAATGTCTTAAATCTTACTAATAATATAAATGTCGAATCTTAACTGGATAGATGGATGTTTGTTAAGAGTTTGTAGCCGAAACGATGAACGAGCCGATCTTGATGAAATTTGGCATACATAGATGTAGAGCAAAGTCTGGAAGATCGCATAGACTAATTTTGTTTTTTTTTAATATCACGCCGGAATCGCGGGCGAAAACTAATTACATTTATAATTTAAATTGTAACAACAGCCCAATTACAGAAGTGATCTTTCGTTGTTCTGTTTTGTTAAAGAGTAGATATGCTATACTATGGAACAGATGTTCAAAGCGGTTTTTAAAATACCTGTCCTTACTGAAGAAGGTTAAACCGTCTGTTATAAATAAACAAATGCATTACTACTAAGTACTCGATGAATTTCATTCTACAGTAACCTTAAATTACACTGGCACTTAATCATAAACAAAGACAAAGTTACATTTGCAATAAACATGAAAACATTTGCGAAGTGACTTACACTTGCCTTGACCTTCAATAGAAAAACTTTGTCGTAAATTATCTTTAATACAACAGTCGTATTCTAGGATACATTTCCCGTAATACAAGTACAGTAGCGGAAATTTTCGGTGCTTCACTTTGATGCAGCGATGCAGAAAAATAATAAATTTGTAGTTTTTATATGTATGTGTCAGTGCGAGTTATTTGTAATAAGTAAATGCAAGTAGTTTATTGCAAGATGCAAAGTTTGTCTCGTTGCAAGAAACAAAGAAATATTTCTCTATGTGGAACACTGATGATTTCTGAGATTGTACATAGATTGAACATGAACGTCTTAAGACTGGTAAAAAAAGGAGAAGAAAGTTTACAGTACCACAAAAGGCACGTGCAAACAAAATTCGATTCTAAGTAACTGCTTCGAACACATCCATGCAATCACAATTGTATGAAATTTCTACGTATTAACATTATCAACATAGTGTTATTATAATAACTAGCTAGCTTTTTCGTTTAATAATGTAAGAAAAAGCTTCAAATTTATAGAGCTTAACATTAAGATGTTTATTGCACAGATGACCTTGAAACGTCGTTCCATTGTCCCTATAGGCCTAACATCTAATAACGTAACTATTCAAGGTTTTATTTTAAAAAGACATCGCAATTTCTTTGTATATTTTTATACAGTGTACGTATCGCAACAAACACGAACTAGATAATGCCGTGCGCCACGCAAACGGTCGCGTAGCTCCATTCAAATGGCCGATGACGTGGGCCGATTGACTTCTATGCAATACACGACGGGACAATAACCAAATATTAAACGTATACTTCACTACACACATCTTTACCTACAGTGTACAATGAGTAAAACACTTTTGTTTTAAAGGTATAAGTTTATTTTATCAAACTGGTAGAGTTTTAAAAGTTGTCGATAGAAGAAACTATTTCTAGATCAAGAAATGTCTTAGAAAAAGAAACCATCTACACATTACTATTATCTTCCAATTAACATACATATGTAAGATTGTTGTAGTTACATATAAATAACAAAATAAAACTAAACACAAAACAAATTAATAAAAGCAGTTTTTAAAATAAGCTTTCGTCGTTTATCTTTGTATTAAGTCAATTCTATAAAATGAGAGCCTGAAATGTTTTACGATTGCTTATAAATCAAATTTATTCTGCTCAAAAAAGCAAAGCGGAATGATCCGTTTCAGAACATAATTACAATTTACAGCCATCGATGGAGTCGCGTGCTTGCATTTGTTTTGCTTCATTTTTACTGCTTTAAATTAAAAACATCGGATTTCCACGGCCCTGGTAAAAGCTTTTACCCTCGATCGTTTAAATTATAATCACTACTGCGTTCAGATTGCATTAGAGCAGTTACAATCAAATTTTATTGCCATGGAACAACATTAATGAAGAATTGAAAACGTAACCAAATATCAATAACTCAAGCAGTCAAAAATAAAACACAATTAAAAATGAAACGTTTGTGTGTGCTCAAATTCGCTTCTAATAATAATAGTGAAGTGCATTCCGTTTTCTGATAGCATAAGCCAAAAAACAATTGCTTTACGCCGTCATTCGCACGGTCGCTTTTTTAACGCTCGGCGTTGGTGCTTCTTAAACGCTCTCGCTCATATGAACGTTTTGAAATGACTCTTGTTTCCTTCGACCAACGCTCAAAATGCAACACTAGACGATAAAAAGCCTCGTGTTATAAAAGATTTGCCTTATGAACAAATATATGGAAATGAATAGGTGTTATAGGAGACATGATAGAAGTCGTCCAATCAATTTAAGTTATCAAAGCGACTATTCATATAAGTCGAAATTTGTAAATGCTGCTGTAGATTATATTTTCTAGTTTGTGAATGCTACTATACTAGTTTTAATAATTTACCTAAAGTCGTAAATAGATCCGTATATTCTCCTCATGCAGCGCAGAAGCCGCGACAGACTATCCTTCCGGCATATCGATCCTCCCTTAGGAATGTGGTTCATAAACTGAAATCGTAATAAACATAAATAAAAATACTTGTCAAACACGAGCTGCGGCAATAAAACTATCAATGGTTACTAGAGCGCAATAAATTTTGATTAGCTATTGACATGACAGATTACAAAGCTGTAGGTAATGTTACATTTTCGCACATCATTGAAGCAGAATGCGATTTTTTCCCTATGCATATATATCTCTCTACAATGTCTCTCTTCCTTTTCCCATAACTTTGTTACAATTATAAATGACACTTGTCCGTAAAAACACTTAGTACTGCTTTTTTACAGGTCTTTTACGATAGGTCGTGGTATTTCGTCCCAAAATAGACCGATATGGAGAATTTAACTTGATCAGGCCCACTCGCGGCTGTAGTACCTCCGATGAAAACGAAGATGACGTGCTATTTCATCAGTCAACACTGTTCACTGTCGCCGATACAGTTTAATTTATGCAGAAATAATAAAAAGTGAACATGATTTTGATGTTACACCAGTCTTATAACTTGGATTGTGATAACCAATGCTCAACAATCCCAATAAACAACTTTATTATTGTACCAGCGATTGCTCATTTTTTACGGCAAAACGTGAAATTTATGTTCATTCAGAACATTCCGATGTACACATAAGAGCAATGTATGAGTTTCAAATAGCAATATCATAAGTCAATGCGAGGCGCTTACACATTTCGCGAGGCCTGCCGGCTAATGGGCGGCGGGCACGGCAGCCGCTGCCCGGAAACTGATCGCTATATTTTAATAAAACACTAGCTTTTACCCGAGACTCCGTCTACATGAAATACTAAAATTAAAGTAAGTTGCTTATGTGTTCTTCCAGACTGTTTACTACTTCAAACATCCCTCCATCTAAACTTTTATATTTGTAACATAAGCAATAAGTAAGATTACGATATTCCCATGAGCTCATGTTTTATGTTTATAAACTAGCACTTGACCGCGATCCCACCTGAAGAAAGTGACGATACAGTCGAAAGATGCATAATTTTAATAGGAAACACATTTTAATGTGAAAAGTGTTCAAAAAACCCTAGAAGCTAGAGATTGTAATATAACTTCGGTGAAAAGAGGTAAATTACCTGCCAGTCTCCTAAAGTCTTATAGCTGGCAGCGGGGAAGGCACTGGTCCTCCACCACAGGTTCCAACGATCGTCACCGCCACCCTGGTATATGCGCCATCCACGCTCCGCACAGACCTTCAAATTATAATAAACAATTGTTTGTTTTAAGTTACATTGTTTGAATATTGAAATAAAAATTACTGAAAACGTTATAGTATTTGTAAATTTAATTCAGTTCAAAAATATAGTAAAACCTCCCACCACATAACCTGCGCTATCCACAAGAAGGGGCAACATAAATTATTGCTAAGGTGTTCGTGGTCCTGATAGCGGTACTCAGTTCCAGATTCAAACCCGGAATTAAGCTGTTATATTTCTAATTATCAAAAACTCAATAAATATAATCTATCATTATCATGTCCGCTCATTAAATGAAATATATTATCACCATAAATACACTTACAATTATCAGAAACAAAATTTATTACGTTATAATTGAAGATTCATAAAAGTCCGGAGTAAATTTATATAATTGTTGTTAATTATTATCGAGTAAGGAGAAATCGAGGTTAACAGTTGACGTTATACCATAAACATATATTTTATTTTAATAACATATCATTACAGGTAATAACCATAAATTAATAACAAGGATAAATATATCTAAATAGATCTGATTTAACAACTGCAGTAAAGTTTAATTTAACTTTATCTATCGTTTTATTTATTTACTGCAATTTATTTTACCTTTTTTTATTATCTATCAATAGATACATACCTTCATGAGAAGACTAGGTCCAGACCCGTTATCATTTAGTCTAAATATAAAATGTTCATCATTTTCGTCTTCCATTTTCACTGAATCTGTAAAAATAAATCAATAAATAGATAATGTACCAAAGACGAAGAAATAAATAAAAAAATACCTACATAATCATGATAGAGATGAATTAAAAAAGTATTCAAAACATTCACGAAACTCGCTTCATGTTTTCCGAAAGAGAATTAGTGAACGTGTTTCATGCAACCACGCGGACCGCCCGCCCGCCTTGCACTGTCCCGCCAGCCGGCAAACGGCAACTATTCGGGCATCACGAGGAACACCGAAATGATTTATTACAGAGTTTTCGTGACACGCCCGTTTTCTGTAAAAAGCGATCAAACAACCCGCCACCGAAATCTTTGTTATTATTTCATGTTCACTAAGCCAGACTCTTAGGCTCGAATACATAGACATCACTCCGAATTGGCTCAGGCTTTGCTTTCGCCGAGTTATCAGCGAAATCTCAGGAATTGGATCTATAGTTCTGGGCACATACAAATAAAATATTGAATTTTCAAACAAGAATTAAAAAAAATAATTGTTTTAGGCGCTTTTGCATTGAACAGTTCTAATAATTCATACGTTTACGAAGTTTATCAAGTCAATATCGTAAAGACACCCCCGGGCCAACCCCACGTGACTGACTGCAGTTAACTTTCCACTCCCCAGGGAACTCTTACAATAAAAAATAACATCCAATGTTTGAATTATTTATTTCCAGTTCTCTACGACGAATCGATTGTTCGATTGTCATTTCGCTGAGCAATACAATAATTTAAATGGATTATTCCACGCCACTACCATTCCTGCGAATGAATAAACTAAGGTGGCACTAAACGTGTTAATGTAGTATGAAGTTTTTATTATTTCATGTAATACACTTAATAACAATGATATCTAGATTGTCTAAACAAAGTATATGTAGTTATTTTCCCTACGTCGTTTACAAAGTTCTAGATTGCTCGGTAATAAATCATAAATACATACTAGACGTCTATTTTTAAAGTAAGCTACAACTGGTAAAAGCGTCGTTTGTCATTAATTTATCTATTTCAAAGTTGTAAGGTCGAATAAATATTCCCGCTAACATTAGACGTTGGGTACACGTAATAACTAACATTACCTCTATTCAATTTCAGTTAATTTGTTTCATGTTGCTCTACTATTTCCAAGCAACGTATAATTTATCTTAATCTATCAAATAAGTACTAAATTCATAACCATGACTAACTGAATCAAAGACATTTAAATAGTATATAGACAAGGCATAGTAAACAACATTTTTTCACCGATACTTCCTCTGAAAAGTGCTCTATCAGTCGTTAAGTTTCTCCACCTCGTGTACTTGCATTTACATGTAATAAAACATTTTATAAAATCATAACATTATAGAGTGACACCTATCTGCAATTAATTTAAATATAATTTATTATATTAAGATGTTTGAGGATCGAAGTGTCAACTATGCCCCCTCTATATATTTATTAATATCTGTACTAAATACAAAGCAAGAAGGTTTTTATCAGAAATATACAATATTCACTCTCATTTCCTAATCCTGCACGTCGTACAGATTTACTGATGGAACTAATAAGCCCTTATGGAGTGAGCATTCTGGTTTGGTCTGTATGACTATTAAAATAGTATGTATGTACTCATAGGGACGAGATCTTACCTAAAGCCCAACGCTAGTCAACACAGAATTTGACAGAATTCAAGGGCGTCCATACAAATTTTATAAAATATGTTCGTTTTTGTTATGAATAGTTTACTTCTTACCTTAGCCTATTGTTTCCTTAGAAGTATCTTAAAATACAAGATAACATTCACCTTACAAATGTTTTTGACAAATTTGTCAATTTTATAAACTTTGTTTTTTGTTCTGCCAAACATATTTTTGTTTTCATCATGAAACGAGTCTGTGAAGATCTTATTGTGCTATTTGGTTAATTAAATATCTTCACTAACAATATTATTAACTATTAGTTAAATTAGTGGTTCGGTATAGTACATAAATGAATAAAAATTCATTCATCGATTCTATAGTTCAGAAATCCTTGTACGGCTATTAAATTTATATTAAAACTATTATATATAAAATTCGTAAATTATTGCGTTTAATGGGCCATAAATTTTTGCATCTTGTTCTATAAAACAATATAAATCAAGGGCATTTTAATACAAGATTCATATGACTATTTTATGTTTTCTAACAACTAATAAACAAGGAAAAGATTTTTAAATTACAATAGCTTCAGATAAATACAAATCTAATGTTAGTTGTATATTTACAAATTGTAAAGTCCAATTGGTACAAAATCAAATAAAAGAAATCGTGTTAAATAACTTCTTTTCATTTACCCTCTTGATTTTAATGTCTTTTTTCTATACTAATCTTATAATCATCGACAGCTTTCATCATGACGTCAATTTTAGACTTGATATGAGGGACAGGACCGGCCTCCTCTTCCCCAACAACCTTATAACGCCTTACTATCGCCGACAGCGCTGTCTTCATTGACATTAAAGCGTATTGGTAACCTGCAACGCAATTTATATTTTTATCAAAAATAATTAATCATCACAGATGTTACGTCATTTCAAGTCTCTAACGACAATACTGAAGGGACTAGTTCGTGTAACGAATTAGCTAGCTAACTAATTCTAGTCTAGACTGCGTCAGTCTTAGTAGAATGTCGAGAACAACATTATTATAGAGAACAAGGGACTTTTTCCTCCGTTATCTTATCTAAATTTCTCTTTAGCATGATCATACCTGAAGGTAATCAAAATGTATGTCAATAACAGTTAAAGACGAATCTTGCAATTTCCATTACCGAGACAATTTCGAGGACCATTGCTGAACGGCATATAGGAGCAACTGTGCTGGAGTTTGAACCTCTCTGGCAGGAACCTATCGGGGTCAAAGACCTCTGCGTCTGGGCCCCAATACTTAGGGTCGCGGTGCAAGCCCCAGATACTGACCGCAGCGCCTGATCCAGCAGGAAGAATTCTACCTGATGCTTAAAAAAATCAAATATACGTAATGTTTATTTTATATTCCTTATGTTTAGTGTCTATATCATCAGAGAGAATTGAAAAATTTCTTGTAAAATAATAAAATATGCTAATATGTTTTTTAATACTTACGTAAGGAAATGTCTTCTAAAATCTTTCGAATAATAAATGGTACTGGTGGAAATAACCTTAGAGACTCTTTCACAACACGATCTAAATACTTTAACGTCAACAAGTCCTCTTTAACTATTGAACGTTCGGGATTTCCAAAAACATGTCGTAACCTGATAAATATTTGTGTTAGTTTCGTTAGAAAAAAATTACAATATCAACTAAACAGCGTTACCAAGTATAATGTGTGTTACGGTTCTACTGGTTTAAGAAGCTCTTTTAAAAAGGACGGCTATCTTTCTAAATTTGATCTATGTCAACACAAATTTCGTAAAATAACTACAGTGCAACTTACTCTTGATACAACTTTTCTTGCACCTTTGGATACATCGCTAACAACTTCAGTGTGTACCCAATCGACACAGCCGACGTGTCAGTACCGGCTATAGTTAGCGTCATTATTTCCTCTCTCAGCTCCAGATCAGTGTAACCATTTTCGCCACCAGAGAATTCAATCAGAAGGTCGAGGAACGAACGAGTTTTGTAATGACATAAATCTGAAAATACTACTATTGAATTCCTGTTCATATACAAGGGATATTAGTGTTATTTTACTTACCAAAATTACGATCTACTTCTGTTTGTAGATTTTTTTCTTTCTTGATTTCTTCCCTCTTCTTTTGTATTACCTAGTGAAGTAAAAGAATATAATTCTAACAGTTAGAAACAAAATCTTATCTCCATACAAGATAAATTTTTTAACGATCACTTTAGGAGTAGAAGAGGAGGTAACTAGCTCGGCTGGCTAACGTAAAAAATTGCAGAATGATGTCTAAACGCGGTAAGGATAAGTATTTGCTTGATATGCACGTATGTGTACATAGAGCATTTGTCTATTGTAAGTAAATGCTCCACCTGTGTCACAACAGCTGGATTAAATCTCCAAAGTCGAGGAAGTTCAAAAGAATACGCCAAAAAACACCGCCTCAAGACCGTTATCCATTGTCACGCTCTTGAGCTGTGAGCTTGGCGGCCACTTGTCTACTTGTCACTAACGCACCAAATATTCGTGCCAACATTCTCATCGAGCGGTTTCCTCTTCTACTTATATTATAAAGGGAAGAAGTTAGAAAAAATTCTGTTAAAAAAATAATTGTGTTAGAAAAACTCAAAAATATTGAACTTACTCCATCTACAAAATCATGCATTGCTTTCAAATATTTTTTTTCCTTCGTGTACTGTGGAAATAACATATACAGCCATTGTGGTTGTAGCCATAAATGGAAAATTCTTTTACAAATGAAATGAAGCATATTTTTCAATGCTGTTAAAAATAGATTATCAGGATTATTTTGGGCGTTTAATTTTATTCCCATTGTAGTTCCTGTTACGTCAAAAAAAAATAATCAAAAACGTTAATAAATACGTTAAGCAACTAAAGCGTAAGTAAATATGAGTGAGCTGATAACAATAATAAGATAAAAGATATCTCGAAATCACTTTTTGTTTTTACTTACCACAAACTGAGTCGAGAGTATATCTACAAAGGAAAGGCCCCATGGTGACGTCACCTTTCCCTGCACTTTCATCAAGTATTGAAACCAACTTCTCACTTTGTTCCGAAAATATTTCCATGAATGTCTCTACTATTTTGGGACTGAAAGCAGGCACCATGATCTTTCGCCGTCTTCTCCATATACGCACTAAGAACAATAGCTCTAAACATGAATTAAATAAACTAATTAGTATCTAAATACTAACTACTATTTATCTTTAATATTACATACGTGGTGCGTATATTCCGCCATTACCAATAGCACTTTTTAAAAACCGATGCAAGTCGTCTTTCTCTAAACAGTTCTTTAGTATTACCTCTAAATCAACTGGATCCACGACAACTAAAACATCATGTAAATTATTAAAAAGGGAGAAAACGAGCGTGAACACCGAGGTAATCAACGACGCCCACGGACATCCGCAACACGTTAATATATTTGATATCTTAATTTATTAACTTACTGAAATAAAGAATATGGCCAATCCAGCCTCGAAGAATACCATTCTTTTTCATTGCCTCGTAACTATACTTCTGTAAACTGTTTAATATATCTGCAAGTATTACGATGTTTTATTGGTTTTTATAGTCCTGGCTCCAGGGTCTGCATCCAGACCAGATACAAACCTTCAGTAGTCCCAGTAAAGTTATGTGCGACACCAACCACAGGTAATTCATCGTCTGGCCCTGGAATCTTTGATGCTAATGTGTGCAATCGGTTTCTCTTCAATCTGAATAGTGCTAAACACAGCACTGTACCGAGGAATAACAGCCATAGAAACATTTTAAATATTAGCACAACGTAACGGGTCAGTAACGCTTGAATGTATGGTCTTCGGAAAATTTTGTGCGTCTTTTATAAACCACTTTATGCAAAACTAGTATACATTAAATTATGTTGTAACAAGTGACAATGTGTTATTACATTAAAATAAGTACTTAAAATGGCATATTTATGTACGTAAGGTTTTTTTAAGGACCCTAAGTCTATGTCTTGTCGAAGTCTAAGTCGTACTCATTTGGAGATAATTTTGTAAGAAACATTTTTTGGAACCGTATCCTGTTCCATCATATCAAGGACAATGAGTACATTAGATAAATGTTTTTGTGAACACGAAAACTAGATGTCAGTTTAAAAGGCCATGTGAATATTTTATTATCCTCGTAGTTATGTTTTTAAACAACTATGGCGAAAAAATGTTTTTGGCGGTCAGTATCAATGTTACCTTGAGATGGTATAACACACAATATCTCGTACAATTTTAATTAATTTAACATGACAAGACTGTAACAAAAATATCATCTAACTATTTTTCTCAATGAAAGGGAGCGGAAGAGGAACGATTTTTATTAATGTAAGGAATCTGCTTTTTTATGATTCTTCTTAAATCATTATTCCGATCATGTTTTTTTTTAATGTATCATTTCAAGTTTAAATAAATTAAAACGAAAGTCAATATCGTCTCACATTGTAACTTTATTTTATGAGCAAAAGAAATTACATTTTTTTATTTAACAGACGTTTAAATTGTATACAATCAAAATACTGTATTCAGGATCTAGAAGCTAGACATTGTTGGTTTCAATTCAACTGGTTTTTAACAGTAACAAAAACTCTTTCAAATATTCAAAACGACGTCATCAAAGAGAGGATATAAAAAAAAAACGAAAAATACATGCTGATGATACTTCAGGAAAGAAGACGAATCGAATGAAAACTCACGCGGTTCAGGGGTTCAAGGGCGTCACATGGCAACATACATACTTGTGTACAAGACTAGAATTGGGTAACCAATACCTCACTCATAACGCGAGAAGCAGAATATTTAACTTCACGTTTATCACAAAGATTTAGTTAAAAAAATTAACTATAGTCATAATTACATTAAAGTTGAAAATAGAATTGTTTTTCGTTTTAAAATTCAGCTTCTAATTCTTTTCTCTAAACTAATCTTGCAATCGTCGACAGCTTTCATCATGATGTCGATTTTTGATTTTATATGAGGAACAGGACCGGCCTCCTCTTCCCCGACAATCTTGTAACGCCTTACAATCGCCGACAGTGTTATCTTCATCGACATTAATGCGTATTGGTAACCTGAAAGACAACAGTGTATGTAGAATATTCTTATAAAACAAATGATTAGGTTTTCCTTCGTCTTGAAGTTCTAGGAATATTTCTTCATATTTTTATACCCTTTTTATCATCACAGACAGCCTAATTCATTGTATTTCGTTTGATAGCTGCTTTACCCAAAATTATCTGTTGCCTCATACTTCGTATATTTTTTACATCTGCGACTTGACAAGTTTAATAGGTATAGATAAGTATATTAATATATATTTGATCCACAGTACCAACACAATTACGAGGTCCACTGCTGAATGGCATGAAGGAGCAGGGGTGCTTGAGGTCGAATCTCTCTGGTAGGAACCTGTCAGGATCAAACACTTCAGCGTCGGGACCCCAGTACTTGGGGTCACGGTGTAAGCCCCAGATACTGACCGCTGCACCCGACCCGGCTGGTAGTACTCTACCTGATGCTATTCAAGAATTACAAAGCATACAATTATCCTAGAGTCTTTGTGACGTATATTAGAACTGAAAAATTCCACCACCTTTTGAACATTACAAAAACCCGTTTTTTCAATACTTACGCAAGGAAATGTCTTCTAAAACTTTTCTGATAATAAATGGAACTGGTGGAAATAATCTTAGCGACTCTTTCATAACACGATCCAAGTATTTTAACTTTAACAAGTCCTCTTTAACTATTGGTCGATCCGAACTTCCTAGAACATCCAGTAATCTGTAAAATGTTTGCAATGTATTTCCTCTAACTACTCGCAGCAGAGACTCAAACGTAGTAGTAGTGAAGTAAAGTGCGACTTACTCTTGATACAACTTTTCTTGTACGTTTGGATACAACGCTAACAACTTCAGTGTGTATCCAATCGACACAGCCGACGTGTCAGTACCGGCTACTGTTAGCGTCATTATTTCCTCCCTCAACTCCAGATCAGTGTAGCCATTTTCGCCACCAGAAAATTCTATCAAAAGATCGAGTAAAGACTGAGTCTTGTAGTTAATTAAACCTGAAATGTTATCAGAATTGATTTCTGTTCAAATATTTTACTCATTCCTGTTCTGTTATGTCTCACCAAAGTTACGATCTACTTCTGACTTCAAATACTTCTCGTTCTTGATTTCTTCTCTTTTCTTACGTATAACCTGGGGAAATAGAAACTATGAGTTATAAAGAATACAACAAACGTTTTTGAGTCCGTCTCATAACTATTTTAAAACCGCAGTAGTTGAAGTGAGAGAACAGCGAAAAGAGAACAAAGATAAGCATTGCGGTGTAGGGTTTTTTTAAAGTATCGACAGACACTTACAAATTTTCAGACGCGTACAATTAATTGTTTGGATTTTTACGTATTCCAAGTAAAAATGTTAATTTTAAATATGTATTTTTCATCTTAAAACATTAAACTTACTTCATCTACAAAATCTTGCATTTCCTTCAAATGTTTCTGATGTGTCGTGTACTGCGGAAAAAACTTGTACAACCATTCAGGTTGTAGCCATAGATGGAAAATTCTTTCACAAACCAAATTAAGCATATTTTTCAATGCTTTCAGAAATTGAGCATCAGGATGATTTTGAGCGTTTGTTTTAATTCCCATTGTAGTTTCTATGAAAATAAAAATGTTAGGTAACGAAAAGTAGTTAAATCGAAGAATTCGGTAAGGTGCAATTTTGTACGGCAGTGGGCAAAAATATATCAGAAATCGTAAATATCATATATCATATAAATTAATACAGCAAAGTAATGTCACTATAGCGAAAAATGCCGTCCTACGATTTTTTGTTTCTACTCACCACAAACGGAGTCAAGAGTACACCTATTAAGGAAAGGCCCCATTTTGACCTCACCTTTGCCTGCACATTTCGCAAGTATTGAAACCAACTTTCCACTTTGTTCAGATAATATTTCAATGAAAGTCTCTACTATTTTGGGACTGAAAGCCGGAACCATAACTTTTCGTCGTTTTCTCCAGATAGGCACTAAAGACAGTTAAAAAGATAAAGAAAATTGGACAAATGGTCCTTATGTTCATCGTACAAAGAACAAATACATCATCAGTGCTAGAATGACTCGAATATTTTTTGTCTAAATCTACAGATTTGTTTTGTACACACTTAATACTAATTCTTACCAACTAATATTAAGATCACATCAGTACCTGGTGCAAATATTCCACCATTTCCGATTACATTTTTGATAAATCGATGTAAATCATCTTTCTCTAAGCAAGTCTTTAGTATTACCTCTAAATCCACTGGATCAACAACAACTGAAATCACGTAATTAAATTTACACAGACTATAAAATTTTTAAACCTTCCCTTGAAAAATCATCGTTATATATGAATAAAAACTTAATTCAGTCAAACTTCTAAAATTATCTGAATTAGTTAACCATGAATATTTTATCTTAATACAATGTTCAGAATACGGACATTTTTTTTACATTACATTTCTTTTTTAATTAATACACAACTTACTGAAATAAAGGATATGGCCTAGCCAACTTCGAAGGATTCCGTTATTTTTCATTGCCTCGTAACTATACTTCTGTAAACTGTTTAAAATTTCTGAAAAGAATATGTTAAGTTACGAAATTTCAGCTAAACGCCTATTATTTTTTTTCGCCTATTATTTTAACTTAAATAACTAAATTAACAAATCAGTAATTGAAATTAGTCCACTTTGGATAAGTTCCTTCTTTTACCTATTAAGAACAGGAACGCATCTGCTTACTGTTGTCTGTGAGTAGAGGTCGCATCAAATCTTTTTCAAAAGTGGCCGACTCCTTGTTTGCCCCCTTTGATGATTTTTATTCGAAAAGTGTAAACAGTACGGTCGTTTTAGTACAAACCTTCAGTAGTCCCAGTAAAGCTATGTGCGATCCCAATGAACGGCAATTCATCGTCCGGCCCTGGGATCTTTGAGGCTAATCTATACAATCGGTTTCTCTTCAACCTGAATAGTGCCATACACAGCACTATACCGAGACACAACAGCCATAGAAACATTTTAAATATTAGCACAACGTAACCGCGTACTAACACTAGAATATATGATCTGAGGAAAATTATATTCGTCTTTTATAAACTGTTTCATACAAATAATGTTAGCCTGCCTTTTATGGCGTTATTATAAAGACGTTTATACTGAGAAATGACAATTTGTTATTATATTATATTACCTCAAATAACCTTGGTCAGTGTTGTTCAAACTGTCCTAATTGTAGTACTCACTTAATCGTAATGAACACAAATAGTTATTACTAGACTTATGGCGCGGTGCCCCTTTCTGTTGGACGACATGAGCGTTCGTCCAACCGAACCAACCCTAACGATATGCTGAGTAAAAAAATCGGAGTAGGTTTTCATAATCCATACATGCAGTTTGTGTGCACTCCCACTTCTGGTTTATTGATTCGGACCTCGTAACAGAGTGATTAAATAAAATTTTACACTGATTTGTTCTCACGCGCCAAGTGGTATATTTAACCAATAGGTTTTAAAAAGGGAAAATGTGCGAAAAAAATTATAAACGCTCAGTTTGAGAACCATAATTTAAAACAGTGTATTATGTGGTCTGTGACATAAAATTGTTGCCTTGTTAATAGTATACGCTATTACATTTAAACTATTACAATAAATTTAACAGTGGTTACTCATTTACATTACATTATTGTGTGAAATAATATGTGACACGGTTTCCGAAAACGAAATGTAATATTTTTTTCCATTATTTTAAACGAAAATTCTTCTTATATTCATGGTAGAACAGGATAGTTACGTACTATTTAAAAATTGGTTTTCATACTTTAATAAACAGAGCATAAGATATATAAACAAAAGTATTTGTCTCTCCCCTACATATTTCCACCTCCACCAAATCCACTTCCTCATTCCTGCCTTGTTAGAAAGAAGATGAAGAAAGCTGAAATAGGACCACCACCGGCATGACACTCAGCTAGCGATACAATAGAATAATCCATTTCATGTCTGTCACACTAAGAGCAGGCGCACACCTTTGACCAAACTATCGCACAACTGTTGCGCGATTGTCGATTGTTGATGAACTAAACAGTTGTGCGATAGTTAATTTATATTTTAACAACATTAAAATATCAACTTAAACTGTATTAACCGAATGATACAGTATTTCCCATAATAATACATAAAATTGCCTTAATAAATGAAAAAATGAATTAAGTCTACATGACGACATCCCAATAAAGACTGTTTAAGTATTCTTAAATTCATGAAATAACTCTCTTTTCTAAACCCATTTTATAACCATCGACAGCTTTCATCATGATGTCAATTTTGGACTCTATGTGTGGGACAGGGCCGGACTCCTCTTCCCCAACGACTTTGTAACGCCTCACTATCGCCGACAGGGCTATCTTCATTGACATTAATGCGTATTGGTAACCTGAAACAGATACAACATTATTATCAAACGGATATAATAATAACAAATGGGGTTGAGTATTAAATGTCGCAAGTTATAATATTATACAGAAAAAAAAAGAAACTTTTTGTTTTAGTTGATGAACCCATTATCCAAAATTTTTTTAGTCTTTTATTAAAACTTTTGAGACCTAATCTTTGACAAGCAAGGTTATTGTATAAAAATAAACAAGTTATCTACTGTACCGAGACAATTTCGAGGTCCACTGCTAAACGGTATGTAAGAGCAAGTGTGCTTGAGGTTGTACCTCTCCGGTGAGAATCTATCAGGGTCAAAGACCTCGGCGTCCGGACCCCAGTACTTGGGGTCGCGGTGCAAGCCCCAGATACTGACCGCTGCACCCGACCCGGCAGGAAGAACTCTACCTGAAGCTAAATAAGTCAATATAGTTACTACAAAAATAAAACTTTAAAATCAATATGTTCTTAGTTTATTTATTCACTTTCGTCCACGACTTTGTTCGCGTGGAAATAATTAAAAAAAAACAGAGTAAGTAGCCTATGTGTTCTTCTAGACTATGCTCTACCTTTATGCTAATCGAAATCCGATTAGCCATCCATCTAAACTTTCGCATTTATATTATTAGTAAGAAGTAAGATAAAATTTAGAAACACTTACGTAATGTAACATCCTCTAAAATTTTTCTAATAATGAACGGCACCGGCGGGAATAATCGGAGTGTTTCTTTGACAACTCTTTCCAAGTATTTCAATTTTAGCAGATCTTCTTTAACCAATGGACGATCGGAGTCGCCGAATACATCGCGCAGTCTGAAAAAAACAACAAAATACCTATGTTTACGAAATGTAATCAAATTATTGAACTAAATCTTACTGCGACAAAAAATTACCAAAAAAATAAACGAATGACGGGTTATCTATATTTGAAGGATTGATAATTCCAATAGCAACTTACTCTTCGTATATTTTCTCTTGGACTTTGGGATACATGGCCAACAATTTGAGCGTATAGCCGAGGCCGATGGCAGAGGTGTCCGTGCCGGCCACCATCAATGTAAGAATCTCCTCTCGCAGCTCGACGTCACTGTAGCCGTGCTCACCGCCCGACAGACGGACTAACAGGTCGAGGAAAGTCTGATTTTGATAACTACCGAGGTCTGAAAGTTAAACAGTTAAAACTGGTAATAGTTACTTTACTTTAAAACTAGTAGCAGCAATTAGAAAGAAAAGCTATAGTTTGTTCGATCAATAATTTCATAACAATTACGTACAAGACCATACTTTATCACAATTGAAGCATCACAAACTCCCTTTTTACACTTGAATTAAGTTACAATATTTTGTCAGGCATCCAAAAAATTTTTTTTGGTTGTATAACTATAAAGATATTCATAATTACCGAAATCATGATCTACTTCTGACTTGCGATCCTTTTCTAGCTTTAATTCCTCTCGCTTGTTAGATATCACCTGAAACGATAAAAATGACAATTTACTGTTGAGATAATTAAATTCATTTTTCTCGAAATCCAAAAATTGTTAGATAAAAACTATGTCACCGTGCCCTTATTATGTCCATATTTAACTGATAATATTGACAATTGTCGTACTCTGACAACTTATTTATTGAATACTTAAATGTAAAAAAATACAATACTTGTTAGTGGAATTTTACCTTGTTGGTGAAATCGTGCATCACCTTTATATTCTCTTCATGGGTCACGTATCGTGGGAATAATCTATACAGCCAGTCTGGTTGTAACCACAAATGAAAAACTCTTTCGCCTATTAAATGTAACAAGATTTGCATAGATTTCAGGAATGGTGTATCTATATTATCTTGTGCATTGATTTTCACGCCCATCGCAGTCTCTGAAAGAATAATACGTATCATGTTACTTCTAAACATAAGTACTTGGCCACATTCCTAACTCGATTTAGACTTTCTCTTAAAGAGGTCCATAAGTTGATGAAAAGACGTATAAGTCTAGTGACCATGGAGTTTAGTCCATCTTATATTAAAATAACGACCAAAGCTATTTTTCCTATAAAATACGTTTTTTATACATTTCTATTAAAAAAGGAGAAGAGCACAACTATATTTAGAGGTAAATTTGAGATAGAACATTAAACAAATAGTGGATTATTTATTTAAACGGAATATAATTTAGCAGAAATCGCGTGTAGTTGGTAGGTCATCAATCACAGCAAAACCAAAACAATGAAAAGGTTAACGTGCTTTAAATTGTAGTTTAAATAATTTTATCTTTACGGAATATCTACATTGAAAGAATTTTTCACTGTAAAATAATTTCAAAATAACCTTGATAACTCAAGTTTAGTTACAATAAATTGTAACTACATTTAGACCATAAAATTTATAAGATGTTCAGTGAAGGAAAACATTGTGATTCTCCATAATTGTAAGAAAAAATTCAATACAACCTACAGAGTCAACCAAACAGCATAGGGCCTCCATGGTTGAAGAAAGGCCGGTGTAATCTAGGGATTTTTTTTTTGTTTCCTTTAGTTCCTGCTGTTGTAATCAAAGGTTAGACCTCTCGGTGTACAGATATGTACGCTGACGGCGAAATATTTCAAACTATTAAAACAAGGTCATTAGCCGCTTATGGGCATTTTATCCCACTATCCCAGAATAATTAAATTCACAAAGGTTTGTTAACTATTATATATTTGTCCGTTATCAAATAACTGATTGTGATTTTTTGTCGTTACTGAATCGTAAATCAAATTCTCTATGACAAGGCTGGCGGCAAACCTCTCCTTACACCGTGCCATTTTTCAAATATAGTATTGGTTTTTAACTATATGGCTATTGGGAACATTTCGTAAAGTAAGAAACATTAGCGTTTCCTCCTCATATATTATCTATTTACCTTTTCATACTTTTTTGGTGTGGATTATGAATTTTATGGCAAGCTGTGCTCGCCATTCCTGCTCTAAGTTTGCAGTTTAACTATTTGGTAAATAGACAGGATTCCGCGACAAGCAGTCCGGACATCTTCATTGCAAATTGTCACATTCAGAAAAAACTTAGAATCAAGCGATTATAGATCAGAGAAAAAACTCAATTGCGTATTGAATTGTCAAGAATGCACTTCGCAATTCAAAGTAATTATTTTGATTGACCATGGCTATTGTCATGAAGATTCAAACACTACGATAATAGTACAAAAAGAGTTTTACAAGTGTAGATAATCTAATAATCGCTTGTTTAATTAAAGTGTTTTTCTTCAAACACAGTAAAAAAAAACAATAAGCAGATATTGAAATTGATTCTCAAGTCGACGTTTCCTTTTTTACGTTGATGTCTTCTAGTTTTCATTCCAATTTTCGGCTTTATCATGCAATGCACATCTACAAGCATTTATTTTACCGCTTATTCGCTTACCCATGTTAAAAATATACTAAAATCACATAACTTTAGCTATTGTTAATGATACTGAGATTTTATTACCTTTTGACTTCTGTTTTCTAACCAATTTAAATCTTGACCACTCGTCCTAACCATTATTACAACAACAACAAGAAGCAAATATTTACCGTGATCAACAGTCCGTAATTTATTTCAATTTTTGATTACTCACCACACACAGAGTCCAACGTAAATGTGGATATGTAATTCCACAATTTAACGGGGCCTTTATTGGCACAATTTGTGAGCTTCAATACCATCTTCTCGCTTTGCTCAGAAAATGTCTTAACAAAATTCTCTACGATCTTCGGACGAAAGGCCGGCACTAAAATCTTACGGCGTCTTCTCCATATGGGCACTAATGAACAAAAAAAAAGTACAAACTGTTAAATTGGAGTGTCTATATGTAATATCAAAATAAAACTCTTGAATGTAACACGAAAAACCTTTGAAAAAATATTGAAAATGTTTGGCTGCCTGGTCGTGAGACCGCGTTTGTTCCAAGCATTCTGTGGAACATACTTATTTGATCAACGTGGAACGATTTCGACGGGAATTTTACAGGAATTTGGGTATGTTATAAGCTACCTTTTGTTTTCTAAAAAGGTCTCAGACAACAACTAGTATAATGAAAATTTAAATGTGTCATACCTGGTGCAAATATTCCACCGTTTCCAATAGCTTCTTTTATAAAACGATGAAGATCATCCTTTTCCAAGCAATTCTTTAGCAAATATTCCAAATCCACAGGGTCTATAACAACTATTAATACAATAGGTTAACGCTATGTCATATGAATGGGGTATGCATTCGCATTATTAAAACAAGGTATGATAACATCAGCCTAATGGCGGATTCGAACGATCACTTGATACCTTAAAGACTAGGCCACTAGTACTTTAAATTATGATGCATGTACTTACGAAAGTATAAACAAGGTCCAATCCAGGAGCGTACGTATCCATCATTTTCCATTGCTACATAACTAAAGTGTTGTAAAGCTTTCATAACATCTACAAAATACAGTCAAATGAGAACACAATATTATCACATTTTAAATTTTTTTGGGGTATACTTAAATAAGTTACCATTTTTAAAAGTCAAGTAGAAAAGTCAAGTATGAATACGATAATAAAATAATAGCTAACGTATTATAACACTAACCCTAGGAAATCAAGTGAAATTAGGACTAAATTAGATATCGAAGTACTAAAATTTGTAAACACTTTGATGTAATACATCACCATCAGAGCCCCCAGCCAATAAATGTGCTATCCCTATAATAGGCAACTCCTCGCTGGGGCCCGGAATCTTGGCCGCTAATTGATACATCCGTCGTCTTCTGAACCTGAACAACGCTATCCACAATACCAGAACAACTGTTACCAACCACAAAAACATAACACTGTCTCGTAGATACTTGGATACAGAATTGGGAATGTCAATTTCAGTACTAGTGTAAGTGGTCTACTGCGCTTTGTTAAAGCAGCAGTCATAAATATATTATTAATAAATAATTAGAAAAAAAACTTTAGCCTTATTATATTATATAAATAATAGCCATTCTAGCTGAGGCCCGCGACTCCGTCCTTGTAAAATTAATAAAACATCCCAGTTTGTAATCTACCTGTGCTGTATTCACTAGTTATTTATTAAATCATTCTAAAATATAGCCTAGAGTTATTGACTGAAAGGGTCGTGAAATTATTAGATGTGCCACTATATCTTTTGTATGGCCACCTCATGTACCGTGGAAGAATCTGCAAGTACCCTAATAGCATCAGTCAGAAAACGTTTGAAAGTTTTGTACACGTTGAGACGATGACGCGGAACAATAACCAATAGGATGCTGCCTCTTAATGTATCTGTACGAAAAAAAAGAATGATTTGTGGTACACGGCTCATTGTTTTTTTTTTATTATTATCCCGTATTTGCGCAACTTACTACTACCTAATTGGTTATTTGTCAGAAGACGCGGATTTGTCTAGGTGCTAGAAACAAGGTAATTTTTCCGCAATTGGAACACCGCGGATTCCTGGAATGTACAATTACTATTACCACTTAAGCTAGCAATTTAAAAGAGTTAGTTGTTATATTGTTGTATAATTGTATAAAATATTATTCGTTTTGTAAAAAAAAAAATATAAATAAAAATTTAATTTCTGTCTAGCTTTTTCCCGTGACTCCGTCCATGCGGAGTTAAAAAAACTTAATGGCCTATGTGTTCTTCCAGACTTTGATCTAAATCTGAGCCTATCTTCAGCGAAACACGTTGAGGCATTCTAGAGATACGTATTAACAAACATCCATCTTTCCATCCATTCACCTGAATTGTCGCATTTTTAGAATTTCAGGGGATGAATATCATAAGATTCTCCGATAGTGCTTGCTTTCGTATTAAGACAAATCTGTATGAAACTCAAGTGACCAAGCGCGGCGGTGATGCGCGTAGACACATCACATTAAAACACCAAAAGATAAAAAAAACAGTTTTTTTTATTTCAATACAAAAAACACACACATTGCATTCTTTGAACACAATTGGAAATTTTCATATTTAATTTTCTCCACTGATGACCTAAGAGTAATGAATAAATTAATAATATTATGATTATTTTAAAATTACTTGATAATTAAATTTGCGAGTAGCTTCAGTCGTAAAGAAATTAAGGAATAACAGGTTAGCTTGGTATGGGCATATTATGAGGAGGGATGAATCGCATGTACCAAGAAGAACGTTAGTTATGAGTGCGGAAGGGAACACCGGTAGAGCTAGTAAGAGATGGTTGAATTGCGTGAACAGTGACATTATCGAGAAGAGAGTGACGACTGAGATAAAGGATGATGGCATTATTAGGACGAAAACACGGTGCGCTGACCCTTCGGGAGTAGGATAAGGTGGGGACGATGATGATGACTTCCAAAAACAAAACACGAGATGACAGGAGAGGGTAGGGTACTCTAAAACCTCATCACACATCACCAGGTGTGAGTTGAAAAGTTACTAATCACGATTTAATGGATCACTACTAAGATTGGTTAGTTATTTATACATTCATGAAGCAACTCTGTTTTCTAAACTAATCTTATAATCATCAAGAGCTTTCATCATGATGTCAATTTTGGACTTGATATGAGGGACAGGGCCGGATTCCTCTTCCCCGACAATCTTGTAACGCCTCACTATCGCGGTCAGCGCTGTCTTCATTGACATTAATGCGTATTGGTAACCTGAAACAGAACATTACATAAAATTGAAAAACAAATAATTATTACAGATACAATCATTGTAGTGTGGAATATCGCTAGCACTAACATTATGGACAACAAGAGATTTGTGCCACTGTTATAGTCCTTTTACCAATTTAACTTCCACTCATGTCATCAAATCTTTTTTGATATCTAGGATTCGGCACGTTAGTTAATTAAGTATAGGTAATAGATAATTAAAAGTAAAGTAAAATGCTATCTACATTACCGAGACAATTTCGAGGACCATTACTGAACGGCATGAAGGAGCATGCGTGCTTCAGGTTGAACCTTTCCGGCAGGAATCTGTCAGGATCAAAGACCTCGGCGTCCCGGCCCCAGTACTTAGGGTCGCGGTGCAAGCCCCAGATACTGACCGCTGCACCCGACCCGGCAGGAAGTACTCTTCCTGAAGCTATAGAAAAAACAGTGAGTAGGTATTTACATAGATTTTTATTTTATTTCTTATTGTATACCTTATGTTTATTTATTTATATTAATACTTACGTAAAGTAACATCTTCTAAAATTTTCCTGATAATGAACGGCACCGGTGGGAATAATCGGAGCGATTCTTTAAGTACTCTTTCCAAGTATTTCAATTTTAGCAGATCCTCCTTAACTAATGGTCGATCGGAGTCGCCGAATACTTCGCGCAATCTTTAAAATAAACAAATGAACTTTATTTAAAGAAATTGAAATTTATTATTGGACATAACATGTTAAGCAGAATCGGACAAACTCTAGCCCTTTATGAATAGAAAACAAATAATCCAGAAAATAGTAAATGCGGAACAATATGTAGTAATTATTATCTACTATCATTCGAAGAAATGATAATTCCAATTGTAACTTACTCTTCGTACACTTTCTCCTGCACTTTGGGATACATGGCCAGCAGTTTGAGCGTGTAACCGAGTCCCACGGCGGAGGTGTCCGTGCCCGCCACCAGCAATGTTAGTATCTCCTCTCGCAGCTCCACGTCGCTGTAGCCGTGCTCACCGCCCGACAGACGGACTAGCAGGTCGAGGAAAGTTTGATTTTGATAATTACCTATGTCTGAAAATTTAGATTTAATTTATAGTTTGTATTTAAGTTATTTTAGTTTATTGGTGTTATTCCTGTTACTTTTATAAAGTTGTTACAATTGAAGAGTAACAGACATTCTTTGTCAATCTAAATCAAATTTAACTGCTGGAACGGCTAAAATAAAATTTATTTTTTTGATGTAATGGCATAATTACCGAAATCATGATCTACTTCTGACTTGCGATTCTTTTCTAGTTTTAATTCCTCTCGCTTTTTAGATATCACCTGAAACATTAAAAAAAAATACTTTGATTCCTGATTCAATTTTTATATGCTGATAACGATAATTTTTAGCTTGGGTATGTTATTAAACCCTGAAGCAACATAATTATAATATTATACTTTACCTTGTTGGTGAAATCGTGCATCACCTTTATATTCTCTTCATGGGTCACGTATCGTGGGAATAATTTATACAGCCAGTCTGGTTGCAACCACAAATGAAAAACTCTTTCACATACTAAATGTAAAATGATTTGCATAGATTTCAGGAATGGTGTGTCTTTATTATCTTGTGCATTGATTTTCACGCCCATTGCAGTCTCTGAAAGAATAATATGTACGATGTTACATCTAAATCTGTAAACTGAATTTAATACTTTGCCACCGCTTCCTAAAGTTGTAATTTTTTTATAAAACAACGGCACAAGGACCTAACAACTCTTCACTTTCCTTATTTTAAAACATTACATTCATATAACACTATAAGATAGCTAAGGTTTTTTTAGCAAATTTTCAGTCGTACGTAAGATTTCTTAAACCTTTTCTTTTAAGGAATGACGTCCTTTGATTTGACTTTTGAAAAAGATTTTGTCGTGATTGTAATAGTTCTTACGACCGAAATATTAATCGCGATAAATAGAACCTATTAAAATTATATTAACTTGATTATTTATATTTACTCACCGCACACGGAGTCCAATGTATACGTGCATACGAAATTCCACATCTTGACAGGACCTTTATTAGCATAATCTGTAAGCTTCAATACCATCTTCTCGCTTTGTTGAGAAAATATGTCAACAAAATTCTCTACGATTTTTGGACTGAAGGCCGGTACTAAAATCTTTCGGCGTCTTCTCCATATAGACACTGATTAACAAAAGGTAAATGTCTTATAAAATTAAGAGTAATGTCATAGTAACAGGCAAAAATATACGTAATTTTAGGGCATTAAAATCTACCATACCTGGTGCAAATATTCCACCGTACCCAATCACATTTCTTATAAAACGATGAAGATCGTCCTTTTCCAAGCAAGTCTTTAGTATATATTCTAAATCGACAGGATCTGTAACAACTATTAAAAAATAGGTTAATGATGAGAGCAGAACTTTGTCCTTTTTTAAATAACATAAGGTGGCAAACAAGCAAGCGGCCACCTGAAACCGCCAGAATGGCGAAGCAACCGCTGCCCATAGATATCCCCGCAATTGTAGATGCGTTACCTACCATTACACGACGGAGAAGACGCACATAAAGAGGACATTTCCCCTTCCTATGCATCTACTCAACCGTCAAATTCACTTCCCCTTCCTATCCTCTCCTTATAAGAAAAGCGTGGTAAAGAGAAAGGCACTTAATTTAGGTCTCCGGCACCACACTTATCAGACGAAACACGGAATTGCTTCCATTTTACGCCTGTCTTCTGTGTGGTCGTGGTATTACACCGGGCGTGCCGGCCTATTCGTGCTAAGATGTTACAGCGGGCACTACCACTAAATAATTACACTGATTTGATTGTTTAAAATTAGTATTTTTAGACATTCTAACTTGTATCTGCACGATAATATTTAAAGCTATTGTTTTTCTTTTTTATTTTTTACTTACGAAAGTATAAAATATATCCTATCCAGGAGCGTAGTATTCCATCATGCTCCATTGCTGTGTAACTTAAGCGTTGTAAAGTCTTCATTATATCTAAAAATATATGTTACAAAATGAGTCAACAAAATCTGCCTTATATTATCAATGCGAAAGTTTAGATGGATGGATATTATTAGAGTTTACAGTCTAAACTGGTGAACGAATCTCGATGAAATTTGACATAGATGAGCGAACATTCTGGAAGAACACATAGACTACTGACTTTTGCTTTCTTTAGTTAAGGACGGAGTTGCGGGCGAAAGCAAGTATTTTTATAAATTACATAAATGTTGCTAAAGCTCATAATAATATAGCAGAAATGTAAAATAAATACGAAACTATCTTTTATTTACATATTTATTTTTTATACCAGTATTACTTTTTTCTGTTGATTTCACCCCAATATCTAAATGATTCACCCCCATTCTACTTTTAAAACGAATAATTAAGTCGAAAAACTACAAATATTACACAAACAAAATTTTTACGATCGTTCTAATTATAATAACGTTAGTATTGAATTCAATTTAAAATCATAAGACAATGATTTTCAAATTATTCAACTAGAAGTTACTTAAATAAACACTTTCAAATAAATACTTCACCATCAGTTCCCCCGGCTAATACGTGAGCTATCCCTAAAATAGGCAACTCCTCGCTGGGTCCCGGAATCTTTGCCGCTAATTGATACATGCGTCTTCTTCGGAACCTGAACAACGCTATCCACAACACAACAACAACTGTTAACAACAACAAAAACATGTTGTCTCAGAGGATACCGAGCACAATGTAATGCCACTACTCGTAAGGGTCTACTGCGTGTAATGAAAACCTACAGCCCTATTTATGTTTATGTCTAATCACATTGTAGTCAACATTTCTCACACAGATATACTTTTATACAAAATTCGTTGCGTTGCAGCCAAAATTACAATAAACTTTACTCCTATTAAGAATTAAAGAAAATATTTATTACTAGCACAAATAAGAAATGGGTAGCACAAAAGCACTAGTTATTTTTTAGGAATGTCAGTAGATTTTTACTAACGTTTATTTACTAATGTTTCTTGTAACCATTCCAGGTATGCTTTACAAAGGTTTTATTAGGTCTTGCTCCTAATTGTTCAAGCCATGATATCGATTAAAAATATTACATTAAATGGTCCAAAATCTCCTTTTTAATCAAATTATGTAATAGACCATAAAGTCATTTTTTTCTTGTCATAATGTAAAAGTATTAAACAATATTTAAAAAAAACACAGGAACACTTAAACAAAATAGTAAATATTAGCATGTTGCAGTTAAATTATGAAAACATTTTTACACAAAAGGTACTAGTAAAAATTAACAATATTTTAAGGTAACAAGAATACAGATAATAAAATTAAAACGACCTGGCCTTTGCCAGTCCTCCATCATCGTCCTACCCTAACGCCTGCCACCTCAGAATCATCGCCAAACCGCGACCAGGTGTACACCGCCACCTCAACCATATCTGCCTTCTCCGCAGAAATGTCGCCAATCCGCGACC